ATCACGGGGCGCTGGTCGGGGCAGGTCGACCCATTGGGTATGTAATTTATGCGAAAAAACATTAGAAACATTTGTTATTTTCATTAAAAGACCAAGAAAGAAACCATAATATGATAAAATGTAGTTAAATTATTGGAGAAATTGAGGTTTTCACTTATTTACAACTTTATTATAGCTAAAATATAATGTAATAAGAGGAAAATCCTAAGTAATTTGACTAATATTATATGTAATATAGGCAAGAATGGGTCGAGAATGGGTACTTCTCATCTTCTTTGGTTGTCACTTTCTCACTCTAAAATATGAAGAAGAAGAAGAAGTTTCTCACACTAGGTCTCCCTCTTCTTCTTCCTTTCAGCTAGCTCTTTATACTGATATCGTGCCCAGTTCATGGTCGTGAACATCAAAACGCGTCTGTGAACACAGTGTGTTGAACCAAAACGCACTGCTTCACTTATTGGGTTCACGGTTTGTGGTTGCAGCTCACGGTTTTAGCGACCGTGAACAGCCTTGGCGTCAGTAACCTCAGAAACCCCTCTGGACGCTTCTTGGTTCACGGGTTGTGGTCCCATTTCACGGTCCTGGCGACCGTGAATTCCAATGGTAGACCGTGAAAACAGGCTGATTCCTCCTCTTTACCTGGTCTTTGCTCCTTTTCTTCCAACTTTCGACTTTGGGGTTGGTTTCACCTGTTAGAATCTGAAACACACTTAAACATAAGAAACCTAGCGTAAAACCACCAATTTTGGAGTTCAATTGCCACAAACGTCTAAGAGAAACGGGGATAAAAAGTGTACAATTAGGCCCGAATCACTCTCCCACACTTAGACTTTGAAATTGATTCTCTATTCTTTTCATTTCTTGCGCGCTTTACATGGGCAAAATTAATGATTTTTACACAATCTTACAATCTGATGACTTAAACAGAAGTAACTGTCAGTTCTTTATCAAATATATACAGAAGATCAGTGTAGAGAGGAGTTTAAGAAGCTTTATATGTACCATCTGAAGACAATTGTCAAGTGGCACACCGATCCTTGGGGAAAACCGAATCATAAGGAGTCCTCCCAACAAAAATTCACAAATACAATAAAATCAAACAAAAACTACAAAAAATAACTAGAACTCGCGACTAATAGAAAACAGTGTAATTAATATTGTACCTCAAACAAGAAAAAAGAAAATAAACCATCAACCAAAACCACAAACCAATACTTTTGAAACAAAACCAAAAACACTACTACATCGTATAAGGTCGTAAATACTACCACGGAAACCAAATAAGAGTGAAAAATCAAAACAAAACACTTGTACTGTTACTACTTACTATGGATTCAACAACTTCAAAAACTACTAACTCATAAAAGCGACACTGCATCTACTACATATATAGAACTCGAACAAAATCCAAAAAAACTAAACCATATGGTACAACATAAACTTGTACATTTATGTGATGGTACAACTTGACATAAGGGTACAAATTTCTTTATGATACAACCTAAATTTATACATTTATTATTATGATACAATTTCAAGTTATACATTAAAATAACAATACTTTATAATTAGCTATTAACCCATCAACAATGTATAGTAACCAAAACGAGGAGGAAGATCAAATTACCAAAACGAGGAGGAAGAAATTACCAATTGACCCACCAACAATGTTATGATCAATTAAAGTGATAAAACTGGTACTTGTTTTCCTTGATTTTTACAATTAGATACAAGTATTTATATTATAATTTTCTCGCGACTAAACCATTAAACACATTTTCCGTGATTCATTAACACTTTTCCTATAGTGTATCCTATATTTAACGAGATGTCATTATGTCATAATAATCAGAGGGATGGAAAGTGTTTCTTTACTATTTTAATTATAAATAATAATAGTTGATGTGTCATTTTGTGTGATATCTTGTCCTTAAACTATCTTTAATTAACTGACACAGCTAAGCTATATTATTCCCCGACAATGCAGTTTTCATATAAGCCACAAAATGAGAATAAGGGTCCCCTAACGTATTGGGATGTAAGCGATCCCACCTCTTAACAATTAGCTATAATATCCCATCTGTTGTACGCAATCGAACGCACAAACTTAGTAATATATATACCCAACAAATACGATCATACGTATCAATCAGCTCGAGTTTCTCAGTTGTTTTTCCCGAGACCAAAAAGAAAAGAAGAAGTGAGAATCAAGTGACCGGACGCAATGTCTCCCGGCCGCTTATGTTTCCTGGTTCTCATAATCATTGCCTCGTCAGCCTGTACCATCTACGGGGGCAGTGATGTGGACTTCCAGGTCATAAACAACTCCCCGACCACCAAAGGCGGAGCCCGATTCATGCACGAAGTCGGACTCAACTATACAAGGTACAAAATGGCGGTGGCATCGCAGTTCATATGGCAGAACATCTTTCACCAATACAAGCCTTGCGACAGAAGAAACTACCAGCAGGTGAAGTTGTTCATCAATGTCTTCAACGCCTCAAAAGTGGCCTACACGGGCAGCGGCGAGATCTACTTCAGTGCTAACTACCTGGAGAAGTGCCCCACCCGCTACATACGAAGGGAGTTCACGGGGATAATGTACCGCGAGATGGCGCGTGTGTGGCAATGGAACGGCGGCGGCCAGGCTAATCCTGGGTTGATAGACGGGATAGCCAATTACGTGCGCATGAAGGCAAATCTTGCACCGGTCGGTCACTCAGCCAAACCCAGGTGTGGTGGCAGATGGGACCAGGGTGGGGATGTTACAGCCAGGTTTTTGGATTATTGTGACAGTTTGAGGAAAGGGTTCGTAGCGAATCTGAATATGAAGATGAAGTACAGCTACAGCGACAACTATTTTCAGCAGCTGCTAGGAAAGAGTGTGAATCAGATTTGGCGGCAATATCAGAAGAAGTACAACCGTGGCTAAACTGTTGGTAATCAAATGTGTCACATACGCGATTTTGCAGCGTCATCGGAGCATGGCAAACAAATTTTATGTTCCAGTAGTCGTCAATTATTAATTTTCATTTTAACTCTTTCAAGTTCACAATGGGGTTTGGACCATCTTTTTCTTGTGTTTGCTTATCTATACTTAGTTACCTGTGGGGCTTGATTCTTTATGCTCTATGTCAGGTTCGGCTTGGTTGATTGACATTGAACTTTCATTCTTGGTCTTAGTCTTTCCCGTTTTACTCTCTATGTTATTTTTTCCTTCTAAGATTATTGAAAGCCTACCAAAGAAGCAATGATTCATTTGATTCATGAATTAGGAACAAAACTCAAGAACTTTGGAATTGTATGCATCTAATTATTGCAACATAAAATTATGGCATAAAATTCGTGAGGCACGCAAAGTTAAAACTTCTATAAATAGGTGTGCTATGAAGAGGTAAACGAATACTTTATATTTAATTATTATTATTATACCCTAATTTCTTTTTCAGTAATAAAACTTTTAGAGCTAATAAGGTAAATCTAATTTTAAACCATAAACCCAACTTAGCAAAATTCAGCAAACATCCAACAACCAAATATTTTTTTAATTTATAATGACCCAAATATCTCATTAAATAACCTTCATTTCTTCCAAAAAAAGGATAAATGCCACATTTGGGAGAAATCCACGTTTGGACTTGGCGGATCAAAGAGAGTTTCGTATTTGGGAAGCAGACCAAAGAGAGTTCTGCGTTTATAATGACCCAAATATCTCATTAAATAACCCTTCATTTCTTCCCGAAAAAAGGATAAATGCCACATTAGGGAGAGATCCATGTTTGGACTTGGCAGATAAAAGAGAGTTTTGTGTTTGGGAAGCAGATCAAAGAGAGTTCTGCGTCTGGGAAAATCCTTGTACCGAGAAGCATATCGATACAAGGTGTCTGGCGGATCAAGATAATTGTTGAGGTCACCGAATGAGGGTCCACAAACTGACCTCCACCGCCCTGAACCGAACCACGCGTTGATACCACTTGCCATAATCGGGCCGCTCAATTAGTACGATATTGTCCGCTTTGTGCCAAGTTCGCACAGTTTTACTCTTGGGTGTCTTCCCAAAAAACTTTATACTAATGAGTTTGGTGGACACTTATATACAAGGGTTTATTCCCTTGTATTTTCGATATGATACTTGGATGGTTGAAGTGAAGAACATCTCGCCGTCGCAAGAGTTGTCGTTTCCACCGTCATCGACCTCTAGGCATCGACATGGGCCGAACCTTGGGGACAAGGTTCGTTGAGCGTGAAGGATTGATGAGAACGTGTTGGGCCGAATGGATGGATTAGTGTTTTATGCTAAGTATGTTAAGCTTGTATGGGTTAGTTGAATTACGTAGTTAGTAGGTGGGTTATATTAGTGCATGGGCCAAAGTCATACGTAGGGAAGTAAGATAGCATGGGCCGAAAGATCTAGGGTAATTAGAGGGGTTGGTTAGGGCTAGGGTAGTATGGGTTACGCACTTGGTTATTTCGTACTATACAAGTGTAAGTTTGGTATTAGTTCCGGTTATCAAATAATAATGTTATGGTTTATCGACACCTATGTCGTTCTCTCGCTTGTGAGTTACAAGAAAAATCCTTGAACTGTGGGTAACTGTTCATCAACTTGGTATCAAAGTCTAGTTCCCACAGGCCCTGGTTCCATGAGAATGGTGGGATCGTAGTTGAGCGTTGCTCGGCGTTGGAAGACGCTCAGGAGAAGACCAACAAGTTAATGACATGGTGTCTACGTGGATGCCAAGTTTTTGCCATGTCACCAGAAGTCAATATCGTTTTGAGCATCATCTGGTTAACCGTTATCTCTAATAGTCAACAAAAGCGTCAAGATACAAATGTCACAAAAGTCTCATAGCTTGTACTAGGATTATCCTATTGAATAAATTAGGAAACAAGTGACGTTTCTTTATAGTTGGGGTGTTGTAGTGGTTGTATCTTATTTTGTGTGGTGACTCTTGTCAAAAAGCATGTGAGGAGGAAATATTTCATTTTTTTTTAGTTATATGGAGAAGTGCCCCACCCGCTATCTGCGAAGGGAGTTCACAGGGATAATGTACCGCGAGATGGCGCGTGTGTGGAAATGGAACGGCGGCGGCCAGGCTAATCCTGGGTTGGTAGACGGGATAGCCAATTACGTGTGCATGAAGGCAAATCTTGCGCCGGTCGGTCAGTCAGCCAAATCCAGGTGTGGTGCCAGATGGGACCAGGGTGGGGACGTTATAGCCAGGTTTTTGGATTATTGTGACAACTTGAGGAAAGGGTTCGTAGCGGATCTGAATATGAAGATGAAGTACAGCTACAGCAACAACTATTTTCAGCACCTGTTAGAAAAGAGTGTGAATCAAGTTTGACGACAGTATAAGAGTGGCTAACCTAGATCACATACACAATTTTGAAGCATCATCGGAGAGCATATGCCAAACAAATTTTTATCATTGAGTAGTCCTCAAATATTAATTTTTATTTAACTATTTCCGGTTCACAATGGTGCTTGGGCCAACTTCTCCTTGTTTTTGCTTATCTACTTAAGTTGCCTGTGGGGTTTGATTCTTTATGCACTAGGACAAGTTTGTTTGGGTTGACGTTGGCCTTCATTCTCGGTCTTAGCTTTCCTTGTTTACTCCGTCTTTTTTCCTTCTAATTTTATTGAAATTCTCTCACGGACCCGAGGATTTATTGGTTTATGTGGGTTTGATTCATGAATTTGAAACATAGATTCAAGAATTTTGAAATTTTATGTATCTATTGATTGCACTGTAAAAATGTGGTATCAAATTGTTGTACCGCACGAATTTAAAAAACTTATATAAATAGGTAGAATGTAAAGAAGGTGAACTAATACTTGATATTTAATAACTCTAAGATCCTTCTTTCTTTTTGTTATTAAAAATTTTTGGGCCAACTTCAATAATTTGGCACAAAAAGACATGTTTCAAATTAGCATATTGCATAATCTCGATTTTCATGAATGCCTGACCACTCCTCTTTTCTATAAACAAAGTATCAATTTAAGAAAATAGAGCATTTCATGTGTTTGAAATATAAATTGGCTTTGTCTGTGTTGTTAGCAGAGTCAAATAAACATAATGAAATAAATCAAAGTTGGCAATGACAATCTTCTTATACGACCATTAATAAAATAAATAAATAGATTTCGAAAGACTACTTGAGTCAACCCGAATGCACCGCTTTAAAACTTCTAATTAAAGCCCAAGTATAAATCTTAACTTGGTACAATACAGAGCAAGTATGTTAAAATATCGATCTGGGCCGGTTCATGTACCACTACTTCGATTGCTTGAAACATTATCTAGCGGTTGATTTTTGTGAAAACAACAATCGAAAGCTAAAGTGTTTGCAATAGTAAATGGATTTGACACTAATTGAGAAGACTTCACTTATTGGGTGTTGCTCCCCCTAGCTAACAATTACGACTTGTTGGATCGAATGGTAGTGTGTGGTGAGGGGGTTGTAAACCGTAGGGAAGTGTAACAAGTAGCCAAGCGCCACTCTCTTAGTCTCTAGGTCGAGGGAAGGGGATACGATCCAAGCCACCAACGTGACTCTCTCGACCTATTGACTAAGGATTGGTTAGACTTCACCCTCGAATCGGAGTCCGGACGACCACCCACAACCAAGCCCTAGGTGCTAATAAGAAATAGGAGGTTTGCCCCGCATTAACCTATCTAGGAGACAATGAATTGCCTAAGAAAACCCAGCACTCAAGCCTCTTTCAAAGAAAGGAAGGGGGTTTCTCTCTACCTAGATTAGATGGCATTAGATTGATAAGCTTTCACACAACACAATCATTCATGAATAATACCTCCACATTCACATTAAACACATCAACACACAAATCATTCAATCCATACAAGCATTCACATGATTGTAGATAGGGTTTACCAACACCCAAGTGAAAGAAGGGACTACCCCATGCTAGGAGAATGGAAAAAACAAGAGAGAAGAAGGGAAATCATTAAAGAGATGCTAGCCTTGCTCCTTTTGTTGAAGAGATCCTCCTTTGGGGTAGGGATTTCCAAATCCTTGCTTGAAGATGAAACCCTAGCTTCTCCTCTTCTTTGGTTCATCACTTTCTCACTCTAGAAATCTGAAGAAGAAGAAATTTCTCACCCTAGGTCTCTCCTTTCTCCTTTGGCTCAATCTCTTTTATATACCCAGATCGGGCTCAGTGGCATAAAATAGGGGGTAGAACGATGTTACCGCATGGCTTGGTGAATGAAAGTTGGAGAAATTTCCGGGGTAGGAAGTGTGAGCTTCAAGGGAGAAACAAAACACAAACACAAACACAAGTACATTCTCGCTCGATGCGAGGCTATTACACATAACAAAGTTTCACATTACGATTCAAAATAAAGAACTCACAAAGTACTAGTTCACACACTAATTAAGGAGAAAATAAAAAGAAAAAGAAAAAGAGTTGAGAGTTTGCAAGTGGAGAAGTGAGGCGAAATAAATCGGCTCTGCCACATGACTCCCTTGACGGCTACCTCATCATGGCAAGCTCACTCCTTGTCATCCGAGAGGATGCCCTGGCGTTGAGCCATCCTCTCTACGAGATCAGCAGTGCGATCGAGCAGAGCAGTGACTCCCACATAATGTGCCTCGAGGCGAACCACTATATCCTCGAGGTGGGGTCCGGAGGTAAATGGCCTGGCCCCTGATGACAATAATGCATTTGTTGATGGTGGTACAGATGTACGCCGGTGGCGGCCGAGAGCTCAGGTGGGTGGGTGCTCCTGGGGAGGAACCTCTAGATCACGTTGTTGACCTGGGGTCATAGAGCTGTAGAGGATCGAAGGCCCTCGAGGAACTCGATTCCTCTCTCCCCTTGAAGCACCGGCTTCATGTTATAGAGATTCTCCACCGGAAAATGCTCCATCCGGCCGATGATAGAACACTGGGTCACATCCACCCGAAAGTGACGGGCCATTCTGGTGATGATTCCCACAAGTGCATCGTGTTCACTCGGTCCTAGCCCTCGCATCAAGCGAAGGTGGTAGCAACCACGGCTCCCAGATGAAGCGGATCTGCTATCCGGTTCAGGGAATGAAGAGCTATCAACCCTCTGTTCGTGATCAAGTGCTCTGCCAATAGGCTGGGGATGACGGACCTCGTTAGGAGGACGTGAATGATCCTCCACGGTGTCCTAAGCTTGACAGCATTGGTGTTGGAGCCTCTAAACTCGTCGCCTTGGTACTCGGTGCGCCAGATGGCATGGAAGGCCGTCGTGAAGTGGAAGTCGACAGTGTACTACCTCTCTGTCATCGTCATGTGGGTTGGGTCAAGCCCCTTGGCCTGAGCAAATCCATCATATGTCAGCACCCTCGGCTGACCTCCCAGCATGAACTCCACGTAGGGTCTACTCCTATTACTCCCTGGAATGACGTGGGAGAAAGTGGAGTAGAACTTCACGCAAAGCTCTCGGTAGATAAGCTCGTCCACTGCCACCACCTACCTCCACAGGGGGTTACTAAGGACCCCTGACATCGCTGCCCAGCATGTTGAACATGTCCAGATCGAGCATCCAATGAGGCCCAGCCTCACTGTACCTCCACTGGCCAAACTTGGCCCCGTACTTCGCGTGGTTCACCAAATAGTTGATGAACTCATGCTCTATTTCCACCATCCTGCAAAGCATCTAGAACACACACCATACGTGGAAATAACTGTTAATTACACATCAAGTGGAGAAAAGGATTCCCCCACACTCATGCTTCCACTGCGGTCCTATGCCTTGAAGACTTTTCACAAGACCAGCTTTAGACAACTGAGCTTAAATGCACACAAAGCTCACAGAGGCATGGTTCTAGGTGGTTCACGAATTAACAACACAGAAAAACAAACCTAAACCATGCCCCAATTGATTCCAACCATCAATCAAAAACATTGATTTACATTCACACATTTTTTAAATTGGTGCAATTTTAATATTCATCTACAAATTGCACCCAAATTTATGCCCACCAAGGCTCAATTAAGATCATGCATCATCAAACATCATTCATTCACATTAATCAGCTAATCCCTCGCCCTAATTTCTACATTCAAGCATCAATTCACAAAAATTCACCTCACTTCACACCCTAATCCAATTCTCCAACAATTGATTAGGAAAAGGTTGAAAACAAACCTGGAGACTCAAGTAGGGTCAAAGTGGAAGTGAGGAGAGGGCGAGGAGCCAAAAATGCACTTAAAACTATCTGGAGAGGGATCGCCAGAGCCTCTCCGGAAAAAATCAACTGCGCCCAAATCACCCCAAAACTCAGGCGAAGGTGCACCTAGATGAGGGGAGAGTGGTCTGCATTTTTTTGGGTTTGGAGGTCAGACATCGCCGGTTTCTACAAAAATCGACAGAAAATCATGGTTTTCCGGGCGAGTTTTTGAATTTTCGACAAAAAGGGGCGATCGTGAAGTGAACTGATTCGTTCACGCCCGTTTTATAGGAAGAACCCTCAGTTCACGAACGGAGGTGTCAATTCACGGTCACTAAGATCATGAACATAACTCCCTGACCATGAACTGGGGTTAATCGATGAGTTTTGAAAATAGTGGGAGCACCCTCGGTTCACGAACGGAGGCACCACTTTACGATCATTAAGGCCGTGAACTGGAAGCCCAAACCGTGAACTGAGTGAAAAACAGGGCACTCCCAAAAATCTTTGACTCAATCTACTCAACTGTGCCCCTAATTCGATCAGACCACATCCCAAAACAAGAAAGCACAGAGACTTGGCACGGGTATACCACAAATTCAACACTTGAACTCTTCACACACACATAAAAAAGAGACAAAAATTAAAAGAAAACAAATTGTCGTTGGTTTTCCTCCCAACAAGCACTAGTTTAACGTCACTAGCTCAACATTGCGGATCTATCATGCTTGAGGGAATGAAGCCACCGAGAGTGGATCCGTCGCGATCTCGGACGAGGCTTGACACCTACTACCTTTAGCTCTTTAGGGTGTCCCTCTTGGTCCGACACTTTCGCCTTACCCTTATCTTTTGGTTGGGAGGAGGCTTGATGAAGCCTATCCCACCACACTCTCTTTTGCTTTCGTCCGGGCTTAGTACTCACCTTGGTTTCCTACACCTCATCATCAAATGAAACACACACACTAGTGGGTCTTGCCTTGAGAGGCTAACATCCACTTTCATTTATACCACTCGAATCCAATTCTTTCACAACATCATTCTTATCTTTGGGATCAATTCAAAGGTAAGTTGCTCCTCCCCATCACTCAACACCAAAGTTCCCTCATTAACATCGATTAAGGCCTCGGATGTGGCAAAGAAGGGGCGTTCTAGTATGAGTCGCATATCCGCATTTTCAA